CCCATACACAACACAAGTAAAAAATTTCACAACAAGAATTGGAAAAAAAAGGATTCCCATTAAAATATTTCTGCGGAGATTCGCATTTTCCTCCCTTTGTTTTTTTATTTCTCACTTATTTTTTACAATTTTACGGGTTTTTTTTCACAAGGTTTATATTTAATTTTTGAGGTTTCTAAATTTGTCGAGTTTATTGCTTAATTGTTTTGGTGTAGTGTCGACTTTGTTTTTATCTTTTATATTTCTGCATATTTTCGAACGCTTTTTCTATTATTTTTGCTCGTTTTTGTTGTGTTTTTCGTTTAGTTAGGAACATTTCGTTTTGTGTTTATGATTTGTATTTGCATTTTTCATTATAGCATTCTGACCGCTTTTGTTTTTGACCACTTTTTATGTAATTGTTGAACGCTTCTTAGTGTTACTTTTATTTTTTTTTTTATCATCCTGTTTGTTAATGATTTCGTGCGTGTTTTAAATGACCCCCCTGTTTTAATTTATTTAGAATTCCAATTTTTTTTCTCCACGGTATTTTATTTTATTTTCCCCTTTTTTTTTCAAAATTTCCCGCGCTTTTGTTTACCATTTTCCCTGTTTTCTGCCATTTTCCGCGTTTTTCTACCACCTACCAGCTTTTTTTTCCCATTTTCCCGCATGTTTTATTCCATTTTCCTCGCAACAAAATTGTTTTGGAGGAAAAGGATACATCAGTAATTTACCTGTCAGGGAATTTATGAGATGTGCCACTCACGTCCTTCCTGGCGTGAGGGAAGGAAGAGAGAGAGAGAGAGAGAGAGAGAGAGAGAGAGAGAGAGAGAGAGAGAGAGAGAGAGAGAGAGAGACCTTAAATGAATTACAGAGATAAAACATTCCTCTCTCTCCCCTTCTCTCTCTATCACTCAACTGATTCTTAACATCCCAGGCACGAATTTATATAAGAGAGAGAGAGTGTGTGTGTGTGTGTGTGTGTGTGTGTGTGTGTGTGTGTGTGTGTGTGTGTGTGTGTGTGTTTATCCTGGAAGCTTCATAAATTATTCAAATAAATTATAAACACTAACCCCCACCCTGTATGTCTATCTCAACTTGTATGTATGTCTGTTATGTACGAATGCTACATCATCATCATCATGTTGACCTCACTATCTTCAAATATAGCATAATTATCCCCGTTATCATCATCATCATTTTCATCTTCACCATCATCATTATTAACATCACTAGAGGGAGGTAATTCCGACGGGCAGTCAATCACTATCACAGCAGGAAGATGACTCACTCACTCAACATCACAATTACCATCAACATCACCTTCACTACCTCAGCCAGGCAGTCACTGTGTTATTTTCCAAGATGCGTTTCACTTAGCCAGTCTTCCAGCAAATTTATGAAGCCTTTATTTCAGCGGGATATACTATATAGACTTAAGCGGAATATACCAGCAGGGTAAAAGAGCTCCACTGTAAATCTAGAGTATTTTGTGGCGTAAAAGAATCCTAGAGTATAAAGGAAGGAAAAATGTCTGCAGCTCTAGTGTGGCGAAAAAGAAAACTATAATAAGACAGAAGATGTGTGTTGGCTGGTAGCTTTATGGTCCATCTTGGGAGCATATATAATGTCAAGGAAACAATCAATAAAAGGGATTGACTATGGTAGAACTAACTATATAGAACACAAGGCACGCCAACCACCATCTATGTTCTTACAAGTTTAAAAGAAATACAACTCAGAAGTCACCACCTGGGCACTACTGTACCTGCACACTATATCTACCTTTACTATACGTCCCGATTTTGTACTCTTGTCCCTATGTCCCTGCCGGATTGTAATTCTGTCCCGGGAGACACAAAAATTGAGAACTTAACGAAATTTAATGGAAAATGTGAGAATTTTGCTGCTGCAGCATTATAATTTGATTATTTATCATTTTTTTGTTCGTAATTTACAACCTTACAGGAGACTACCAAATGCCAGCTTACAAGGTTGCTTATAATCTATTACAAGGTACTGGAAAGTTTTCCACTTAGTGGCATTCTCTATGATCCCTCCTGTGATCCCGTATCGTATCACGGGGCGTCCACTACTGTCAGAAGTTTGTACTGGGTCTGACCAAGTTCTTCTCCAGACCATTACTCGCAGCCTTGCCCTTGACGACCAACGTACGTACTAACGGCTGTTTCTGTGCCTCATTTGCTCTTTGATACTACACTGACTAAGTCCAAAACAATGCCTCAGTAATGCGCGTTTCTTATATCCCTATGATTAACGGTCTAATGGTATCAAATATTTTCCGTTGACACTCAGAAATATGGATATTTTATATATATACTGTACACTGTTTCTGTACTTGTAGTGATGTTACTCAGTAAACTCTCTGAGTCAGATTTTGTTCCTGAGACTAGGTAGGATCCCCTGGGCGAAGCTTCATATAACTTCCAAGTTGTTTTGAAGTTTTCTCTGACGATGATGAATCTGAGGGCCGTACCATGAAAACAGCGCCAGCACTAGCCTTCAATAGTGCCTGGTGGTCCATTCCTTCAAGCTGCAACAACACACTTTTGCCAACTACGTCAGACGAATCTTTGACCGCCCTCACTCTGCAGCGGTAATTTGTTTGTGGTACGAACATAAGAGCTGAAGAATAATTAATCTTGTAGGATGGGATGATTAAAATTATCTTTGACCAAATGTTGGTTTGTTACGGTACGGGGCAGACACTATAAATATGCCAATAAAGATGAATACAATTTTTTCAAAGTCTGTCACATTTACCCTCATCCCAGAAGAATATTGTCTTCATATTCAAACTGGAAAGGTAATTCAGAAGAAACAGTGAGAGACATTTGTTCCTCTGTGGCTGTTATTGGCGGCCACAGAGGCGAAACCTCTTGGGATTGGTCTGATCCCTTTGTATATACATGATAGATGACCGCCTCGCCAGAGAAAACCACGCTGGTCGCAGGGGAAATTCGCTAATTTGGATTATCTGAAACGATATTTCGCTTTTTTTTTTTTTTTTTTTTTTTTTTTTTATTGGGCACCCCCCCTACATCCTGTGCAAGTTGAAGCGCCCATCTGGGAAGCATGCTAAGTTCATGCTTGCCTTTAAGTCTCATGAGTTAAGGGCGTAGAAGCCTGAAGGGTCATAGGTTTTTTGTCAAGGGTATAGCCGTAGAAGCCTGAAGAGTCATAGGTTTTTGTCAGTAAGTTATTGGAAGCTCCAACAACTTTCCCTGAATACGAATTCGCAAATTTTCGATTTACAACAGGTACCTACTTTACTGCTAGGTGAACAGAGACCAATGGGAGCTAGGAAGTGTGTCCAAACAACTTTCCACTGGCCCGGGAATCGAACCCGTGATATCTCGCTTGCGAGGCAAGAGCGGTACCGCACTACCACCGGCGCCCCTTTGCTTTCTGGTTACTTTTTAAACAACCACAACGCGTCGCGGTCGTTTGTCGATCTTTGAACATAAAATATTCTATCAAATGTGTTTGTTTAAATGCCTACCTGAGGAAAAACTTTCTCTTTCATTTTCCTCCACCTCATTAAGGGAGATAATCCTTTCTCTCTCCTCCCCACCCCCCCTACCTCCCGCCCCTCCCTCAGCTACTCTCATTCCCTACCTCCCTTCCCCCTCTCTCTCTGTTCTCCACCATCAATCATTTTATCCCTTTCATACAATACACACCAACTTCTCTCCCCTTTCCTCTTCCCCCCTTTCCCTTACATCCCTCTCTCTCTTCCCCTTTTCCCTTCCTCTCGTTGTTCTCTCACCAGAGTGTGATGAAGGCAACGAAACTACTCTCTCTCTCTCTCTCTCTCTCTCTCTCTCTCTCTCTCTCTCTCTCTCTCTTAGGTCGTCTTTCTGGGACTCGGTAAATGTGGAGAAAAAAGTTTAGTGGAGGAGGTTCACGTGATTGGTTGGTACTGGTGGCCGCCAGAGCCATGCTTAGGGTAAGGGCCCGTGTATTAGGAGTATATAGGGCTGGTAGGGTAGAGTAGAAGTTGTTAGGGGGGTACTGGCCCTGCGGGTGAGTGTAGCAAGGTAGGACCCCTTATTTAGGTTCAGGATGTTAGGAGAGAGAGAGAGAGAGTGTGTGTGTGTGTGTGTGTGTGTGTGTGTGTGTGTGTGTGTGTGTGTGTGTGTGTGTGTGTGTGACTCAATTACTGTTTATCCACTCACTAAATTTACCATTTATTCTTCTTCTTCCTGTCATTACCTCAATGGGCTGTTTTTCCTGATGACCTGACGTATGGATGTTTTTCGCGATTGTGGGAATAATTTTGTTTATCATCAACGTCATCTTAAGGCAAGTGTCACTAATTCTCGATCTTCCTTGTTTTCATATACAAGTTTGTCGTCAGTTGGTGAATATTTCATTGACTTCTGTGTAAATATGTTTGTTGTTTACTCTCTTAAATATTGTCTGTATATATGTTTAGTTTATACATTTATTTGTCTGTATGTACACCCGTCTGTTATCCCTTGAGAGTTTAGAATCACAAACTGATTTTCGGGACATTATTTACAGGTGATCTGGTTAGGTGTTGCTGTAGGAGCAAGAAAGGTCGCTGGATTATTATTATTATTATTATTATTATTATTATCCTCTCTTGTTCCATGGGTCACCTCAAGTGCTCGGAAACGTTCAAACAAAGTCATGATCCGAATTAGAATGGGGATTTGGCGGTAAATTTTCATTAAACAAAAACCCATAACAGCACTAGCAGCTGGTGGAGTCTGTGGCCGCTGTAGAGGTTTAAAAGATAAATAATTGTTGAAATAGATACAATAGAGGGAACGAAGGATGTTAAGCGAGAGGTGTACTTATGATATCGGTTATATCAGTGTTATCTCCTGTTATCACCTGGGAGAATTGTCAGGTTGTGACACGTAGAATATCGCCTTATCGTCTGATAACGATTATGCGTCATTTATACCATATATGCACTCGTAAATTATTAACAACTGGCGTTATTATTATTATTATTATTATTATCAGGGGAGATAGTCTACTAGCCACTTGTGTACTGGGTCTTCTCTGCTGAATTAAGTCGTTTGGTGTTTATCAAATCAATTATTGAAAGTGGCGACCCTGTAGTGAAGTGGTTAAACTGTTGTGCTGATCGATCGAGTAGTGTTGGGTTAGGTGTGCTGAGTGCTATAATGGAACACGGTAAGACACGCCAGCAATTTTCAAATGTTTTAGTCTATTACTCTTGACGATGTGTGTACAGTATGTACTGCATGTATGTGTGTGTATTTATTCTTCAGTCTATTCCCAGGAACTGGTATATTATTTAGGCAGAAAAAGTTATAGGTTAAGCCGTTAAAACAACGACTTGTGAAAATAAGATCAACCGGGAATGAGTCGACACCTCCCGTGAGTGAAGCCTGATTCATTAGATTGTTTCTCTTAAGAACTCTGAGCATCGTGCACAGGAGAGTCTTTTCATACTGGTTCAGTGGATAAGGAGAAGAGTTGTTCAAATTAGTGATAAAGGCATGAAGATTGGTAGATATATCCCTTGTAATAATTAACATAAGATTAACCCCTTCACTATGGAGACACGATTATATTCAGCACAGTGGGGAACCTGTACACAAGGAGCTAACACCCAATCTGATTCTTGCCCTTAGAGGAGTCAATTTTGGATTTCAAGATGGCTGCCCTCTGAGATTGATTTTTTCTTTCTTTTCATTTTTTGAGAACAAAAGGATGTTTCCCCAAAAATATTTACTCCGGGTCTAATTTACTTTATATGCATTAATTTTATGTGATCTTACTTATCTTAAATTAGTACGGGTGTGTGGGTGATGAGGGGTGTGTGGGGGCGTAACTGTGTAGCTGCAGGAGTCGAGATCTGAATCATGCCTGAAGAAAAAGTGAAAGAAGAATAAATAGAATGAAGAAGAACAAAGAGAGAAAAAATATATATGGATAATTTAGTTCAGTATTTGAAGCCCCGGTTACGAGCTGTGGATTATGACTGTGAATGTTAATGTCTTCTGTCACTTTACCTAGGCAGATTACCGAAGACAAAGAGGATGAAGAAACTGGTGAGGATGAAGAAACTGGAGAGGATGAAGAAACTGGTGAGGATGAAGAAACTGGAGAGGATGAAGAAACTGAAGAGGATGAGGTTGATGGGAAAGACGTGTAGTGAAAGCGGGAGTATGGAAAGATCCCTGACACCTAAGAAAAAGCCGCGTGTGTGGAAGAAGACAACAGATGACACGACAAGTGGGAGTGTGTCAGCCGCCCACCAGGACCCTACAGTAAGTGACACATACTACCTTCTGTTCCTTTTTATGAGTAATAACTATATCTCAGATAAAATATTCCTTATCAAACGACGCGAATGGGGGCAAGGACGATGCTTGTTAAATTATGCATCTATGTCTAAGCCTTGTGTTCCAAACTGTCCAGAAAGATTCACCAAAGCAATCCAAGCCCTTAAGAAAAATAAGGATCTACATGTCACTAAAGCAGATAAAGCCAACACAGTAGTAATTTTAAACAAAGATGAATATATTTCTAAAATGAAGGACCTTTTATGTGACGCTGCAACATATTCTAAGCTCATAAATAATCCTCTCAACACTGTTAACACCCAGTTCAACAAAAAACTGAAGTCTCTATTGAGAGGCAAAGCTACTCTCATTAAACATCTGTCGACACCATTCATTGATAGTTGGAGCCTGTACTATGGTGATGATAGTATGTATGCAAGGGATGGGGTGCATTTAAGTAGGAAGGGGGTGGCGGTGCTAGCGAAGATAGTTGACAGGGTGGTAAAGGTGGGGTTTTAATATGTCCAAATCCCATCAATGGTAAAGAGAGGAAAATACCATGTGAAAATAACAGCAGTGAAACAGAAGTAGATAATGCTGAAAATATAGTTAGTCATAATAACAAACATCAAAGTAATAAATGTAAAACAGATAGAAACGGAAGAAATATATTGAGTGTTTATTATACTAATAGTAGAAGCCTGTGTAACAAAATGGACCAGCTCAGGGCCATTGTTAGTAAAGAGAACATAGATATAATTGCAATAACGGAAACATGGATAAATTCAAACAGCAAACATTTTTTAGCAGAATTTCATATTCCAGGATATAACCTATTTAAATTTGACAGAGTAGGAAGGAGAGGGGGCGGTGTAGCAGTGTATATCAGGGTGTCATTAAAAAGCTGCAATAAATCAAACATTAAAACAAATAGCGACAATGAAAGTATTTGGGTAGAGATTGGTGAGGGCAATGAGTCCGTAGTCATTGGTGTTATATATAGACCACCTAATTTGAGTAGGAACGATGGTAAATTGCTATGGGAGGAAATAAAGAAGGCATCTGATAGAAACAATGTATGTATTCTAGGCGATTTCAACTTTTCAGGCATAGATTGGAAAAATCAACTTAGCGATAATGAATCTGAAGATTTTCTAGAAGTAGTACAAGATAGTTTTTTATATCAATTCATAAACTCGCCCACTAGAGGAAATAATATCCTCGATTTAGTTCTCAGTAATAATGAAAATCTAGTAAAAGATGTTGGGATTGGAGACGAACTAGGAAACAGTGATCATAAAGCCATATATTTTAACATAATATGGAATGGCAGGAAGAAGGAAAATTCGGCCTTGATCCCGGATTTTAGGAAGGCTAATTACGGTAGCTTAAGGAGAGACCTAAGGGATGACCCTATGGTCAAAAGATTAATCCCCCCACACCTCCGGAAACTGTCAACTTAGGACGGGAGAACCCCGAATTTAATTTAGCAGCTACTTATGAACAATTTATTGCGACAATCCATAATGCTCAAAATAAACACATCCCTAAAAGAAAATTCAGATCGATACGGAACCAACCAAAATGGATGAATAATAGACTCTTAGATCTTCTAGGGAAAAAGAAAGGAGTATATAGAAAAGTTAAGAAAGGCGAAAATCTTACTTGGTTACTATCAGAACCTAACAAGACAGGTAAAAACAGAAATTAGGAAAGCAAAGAGAAATTATGAAATCAAGGTAGCAAACGAATCGAAAAATAACCCCAAAGCTTTTTATCAACTGTATAAATCAAAGGTTAGAGATACAATAGGTCCCCTTAAAACTACGACAGGAGAAATGACTGATGATGAGTTAGAAATGTGTAGTACGTTAAATAGTCATTTTCTCTCCGTATTCACAAATGAAAACCTAGCACAGTTTCCAGAAGTTCATAAGGTATATAACGACAGTATAAAAAATATGTTGATGAATATCAATGTTACTAGTAACGATGTGCTTAAAGTAATTAACAAACTGAAGCCTCATAAATCGCCTGGTCCAGACGAGGTATATGCTAGAATATTAAAAGAATGTAGAGATGAGTTGAGTAATCCATTAGCAGTTTTATTTAATAAGTCATTAGAATCGGGCCTAGTGCCAGAAGCTTGGAAACTTGCAAATGTAGTTCCGATTTTCAAAAAAGGTGATAAATCAATTGCATCAAATTACCGTCCCATTAGTCTCACGTCAATCATAGGCAAGTTGCTAGAGTCAATTATTGCTACAAAAATCAGAAGCCACCTTGAAACATTCAACTTAATTCATTCTTCTCAGCACGGGTTCACCCAGGGACGTTCTTGTCTCACAAATTTGCTTAGCTTTTTCTCAGAAGTATATGAAGCGGTAGATAATGATAAGTCATATGATATAATTTATTTAGATTTCAGTAAAGCATTCGATAGAGTCCCTCATGAGAGGTTGATAAGGAAGGTAGAAGCACATGGAATAGGTGGATCATTATTAAATTGGATTAGGTCATGGTTAACTGGTAGGAAACAAAGAGTCAGCATAAATGGATTAAAGTCAGACTGGGGTGCGGTCAAAAGCGGAGTTCCCCAGGGATCTGTATTAGGCCCTCTGCTGTTTGTTATATTCATTAATGATCTTGATTTAGGTATAACTAGTAGGATTAGTAAATTTGCAGATGATACCAAAATGGGGAGAGTGATAAATTCAGACAGTGACTTTGAACACCTTCAAAGAGATCTAGATACCTTACATGAGTGGTCAGTAGACTGGCAAATGAATTTTAATACTGATAAATGCAAGGTACTACAGATAGGGAAGACGAATACAAACGTTAAGTATAAACTAGGTAACACGGAAATAGAAAACTCAGATTGTGAAAAAGATCTAGGTGTATTTGTTGGCAACGACTTGAAACCTAGAAAACAATGTATTAGCGTTCGCAACAAGGCAAACAGGATTCTTGGGTTCATATCTAGGTCTGTGAGTAACAGAACTGCTGACGTTATCTTGAAACTTTACCTAGCATTAGTGAGGCCACACATGGATTATGCGGTTCAATTCTGGTGTCCTTATTATAGAATGGACATAGATTCTTTGGAGAGAGTACAAAGAAGAATGACAAAAATGATCCATAATATTAGAAACCTTCCATATGAAGAAAGGCTGAAAAGCTTAGGCTTGCATTCATTAGAGAGGCGTAGAGTTAGGGGAGATATGATAGAGGTGTTCAAGTGGGTAAGTGGGATTAACAAGGGTAAAATGGAAGATGTTCTGAAGCTCAGTAATAACGAAATAACTAGAACAAATGGCTTTAAATTAGATAAATTCCGATTCAGAAAGGATATAGGCAAGCACTGGTTTGGTAATAGAGTTGTGGATATGTGGAATAGGCTACCGAGTGCTATAGTAGGATCGGGGACGCTAGGGAGCTTCAAGACGAAGTTGGATAGGCACATGGAAGTGCTGGGATGGGTGTGAAAGGGATCTGCCCTGTATGGGCCAGTCGGCCTCCTGCAGTATCCCACTTTCTTATGTTCTTATGTTACTTCAACATCCCCTCCACTGCCATACATGCACGGTGTAATCAAGACCCACAAGCATAATAACCCAGCAAGACCCATCATCAGCTCAGTTGGGTCAATCCCTTATAAATTATCTAAATGGTTAGTTTCTTTACTAAAGCCCCTAGTTGGCAACATTTCTAACTCTAATATTAAGAATAATATGCATCTGGTTGATAAACTCAATAACTTACACATTAATTATGATTTTAAACTGGTCAGTTGATGATTTACTGGAGTTCCTCATAGATTCCCTAGATAATATTTCATTGCCCGTCTTGAAAGACGACTTCATCGAACTCATCAAACTATGTATTAAGGATTGTAAATTTGAATTCAATGGAGAATATTATGCTCAAATATTTGGTATGGCAATGGGTAATCCACTCTCACCTATATTAAGCAGCCTTTATATGGAATTCTTTGAAAAGAAACTATTAAGTAATATTTTACCACCCTCAGCAGTCTGGTTTAGATATGTTGATGATGTATTATGTCTCTGGCCAAGTAATGAAGACCTAAAAGCTTCCCTGCCACAACTTAATAACTTAGCCCCCTCGATCAAATTCACTGTGGAATTAGAGCATGACTGTAAATTGCCATTCCTAGACTGTCTGATACACAGAATAGGTAACACCTTTAAGTTCAGTATTTATAGGAAACCTACTAATGTGTGTTCATACATTCATTATTATTCTGCCCACCATAATAGAGTCAAACAGTCAGTATTTTCATCAATGTTTTTACGTGCTTTGAGAATTTGCAGCCCGGAATTCATTGATGAGGAATATAAATATACCTATAATATTGGCTTGAACCTTAAGTACCCTAGATCTTTCATAGACAAATGCCTTAACATTACTAAGAAATCTTTCTATAGAACCGATCCCAAGCCCACCCATGACCATAAGAATCTCTTAGTATTACCATTTCTCAAAAATTTCTCTCAAATTCCTTTACAAATAAAAACCTGGAACGTCAATGTGGCATTTAAAAACTCATGCACTGTTAAACAAATGTTAATCAAAAACTCCCCCAACAACACAGGTGGCTGCATTTATAAGGTTCCTTGCAAGGAATGTAATATGTTTTACTTAGGCCAGACAGGTAAAGATCTTGTAACTAGACTTAAACAACATAAATAGAGTGTTAGGACAGGCCAGGAATCCAATGCTCTGTTTGTTCATTTGAAGGATAATAAGCATTGCATTGACTGGGATAATGCCTCCTCAATATTACCTTGTAATTCAATTGACAGTTGGAACATTATAGAATCTAGTCTCATTAAACATACCGAATCCGTCAACATGAATTTGAGTAATGGTATGTATAAACTGGATAATTTCATAATTAAGAAGATTTGTAACCAGGTGAGAAGGTTGGGTCAGCTTACCCTCTGACCTGACTACCGACTGCTGCAGTGGTTTTTGAAGATTAGTAGGATCTGTATATATATATATATATATACAAACATTGTTTTGTACTTCTCCTTAGTCTGTACTCACCCCTGAAGATGTGAATTACAAGACAGCGCTTGGGAACTTCGTGTTTTCTTCTTTCCTTGTGGTTATCAGCATATACCTGGATCAAGCGCACCCACAGTGATTTACTTGCATATATATATGGGTTAAAGAGCTGATGGATATACATATACTATCAGCAACATTACATTCTAGGTTCACGAGGTTCCTCAAGAGCCCGAAGACAAGGTACTCAAGAGGGAAGCCACAGATGAATCACAGATACTTCTCGTCTGGAGGCCGGGGTCACCTACCAGTCTTTGTGTGTGTGAAGATGATTATCAACCCTTCCGCGAAATCGTTTGTATCGTTCATCTTGAAGAACATGCGGACGTTGAGGAAGTCCAGTCACTGGCGCTTGTCACCTCGAAGTCGCAGATGTTAGATCACGAAATAGCTGACAACGACTATCAGCCTCCTCAGGAGATCGTGGGAACCGTAGAACCTAAGAAACATATGGAAGCCGAAGAAGTTTGGTCACTGGTGTTTGTTTCCTTGAATTGGAATCAGCATCACACGGTCCTGAGCTCAATGATGACAGGTCAAGACACTAGGGGACTCTTGTTCACCTGCCGTCAACTCCACCAAGGAGGTCCTGGCAGTGTAACTTTCAAGTTAAACTTCAGGTCAGTGATGAGGTACCTCAGGAACTTCTACGAGACCGAGATCTACCTGATGGAGGTCATAGAAGAGCATGAGTATCAGGTCACAACAAGGTTCCTCGTAACATCCCGGATGGATCCCACTATGCCCTTTCTGCCGGAATATGACCCTAAGGTGCGAGGGGGACCCTGGTATAGGAATCCTGACGGGGAAGATTTGTGCCTGAAGAAGATCAAGACTTACGATCACAAGCATCCTGACGAAGGTCTCCCACATAACCTAGAGTTCTTTTTTAAACTTACTGACGATCAGTACCATCAACTACACCAAATGTCTTCCTTGGAGTAGCATGAAAATGGTTAACAGTTAAGAGCAACACGAGCGGACGGAAACAGTCGTGTGTTTAAGGTCAGCGAACTTTCCGCAAAAAAAAAATAATCAGACAAAGACATTAACAACAGCTTAGCATTGATGCAAAATCAGTCGACACAAAAATGTACAATCCGAGAGTTATTTTCTTCAACCTTCTCTCCTTCTGTGTGTTTCCCGGTGATGTGATAATGTCAAGAAAAAATTACAACGAATAAATGTCACGACCTTTACTAAATATCCTCCACGGAGAAAGAAGAACTGATAAACTCTCGGGAAATGTTAGAGATCTTTTTTTTATCGTTCTCACCAGACAATCTCTACATGTCATACAATTGTTCAAGATGTAGATAATTTTTTGTTCTCCTAAAACCGACCCTTTGTACACGTGAAAAAAAACACACAAAAACATTAGAAATAGTTACTAAAAACATGCATTTGCTTATTAAAAGTATGACATACAGGTAAAAATATTTGTCTCACAAAATTTACTGGAATATAAAAAATATATATATCAAAGGCGGTGGTTCTGTAGTACATCAAACAACAAATCTCAAGGATCGTCAGACTCCAGGAACGCACCAGTAACATCTGGAAATCTTTCCCATGTTGGACGGGCTGTCTTTTTCTCATGCCCACAAAAGGATGAGGTTGTGAGGCAGCCAGTAAAGGCTTGGAATATTGGAGGAGTCCCTGACCTTGCTGGTCCCAGTGTTACGACGGTCATGAATAAACACAACTCTACTTGTTTCATGTCTCATGAGAAGCAGCCATTTGTAGCACCATCACAACTATATCAGTAGCAGACCTATGGCTCACGACGGACGGCGTCTATTACCGTAACTGAGGTGACCAGCAGGTGGTGGGTGAGGCCAGTATACCACGAGACGTTGGCCAGTGCTCACACGCTCCAGTTGCCGCTACTGTACTTCAACCCGCGTTATTGTTCCTGTTGCTTCATCACAAAAACAAAGGTATTTTTGCTGTTGCTGTTATTGTGAACTATATATTATTTTGTAACTGTAATGTGAACTATACTCTTAGTCTTATATCAGTGACCCTCGGGCCTTATGTTCCATCACCAAGCTTCTCCATGTCTGTCTGTGGCTATCTGTATCCTCCCAATTCTACACGCCTGAAGCCAAATCCTCGGTGTCTTGTCTACTGTTGTCGTTTAACCTGTCTGCCCAGTGGTCGAACGTCATCCACTCTGCCATTCGTTAGGAAGTCTGTCATCCCCCTTCCTCGCGCTGTGTCCAGACCATCAGAGAGTCTCCTTGAGCACAGTACATCTTGGACTCCACATTGCCCCCACAACTTCCTGATCTCCACATTATACCTTCTCCTCCATGTCATATACAGCGCAAAAAATCCGTCTAAAAATTCCGTATTCAATAAACTTCCAACCTTTTTTTTCTGTTTGTAATTGTTCACGTCTCACATCCATATTGCTCTTCTTACTACATTATATATACTGTAATTCAGGTAAAAAATATGGGACCCACTAATCATCCATCCTACATCTAACTCCAATGCTTACAAAGCATTTTTAACCTTCGGCCACTGATAAATAAATTTGTGTTACATATTATCAGTTTTGTACTGACCATCACTAAGGTTTATAGAATTCAATTCCCTAACCAAACTAGCTTCAACCAGAAGTCTTTCTGTGACACATGATGATTTGTACACTTCTAAGCTGTTTTCCCAATCTATGGGATGATTATTGTTCCTAACATGAACGAACAGTGCACTGCTTTCAGATGCTGTTCTGATATTGTACTTGTGCTGTTTAATTCTGAGTTGCAATGCTTTCCCAGTGTGTCCTACATAATTTTCATTGCAGTTGCTACATGTAATGCAGTAAACACTTCCATTTACATTCAAGGTTGGGCTATTCTTGATTAATATATTAGTAATAGTTGAGTCCTACTTAAAAACAACATTAATATTTAATAATTTACGGGACTGCACCAACGGGACAAATTCATTGCGATAAGGCATTGCGACTGGGAAAGCATTGCAGTTCACGTGATCTATTCCTGAAACATCGTTGTTAAAGTAATTAAATAAACTTTAATGAATTGTAGTTAATTGGAGAAATTTTGTTGATGGTAAATTATGATTTCCTCTTGTATTAACAGAACCCTGAGTGATGGCAACCGTGGGTTGGGTGATGACCGTGGGCGGGTGGGCAGTGACGTGGGCATCTGTCATCATCGTGTTGGCCGCCCACAACACCAAGGTGACTATCGGGCGAATTAGTGAGTGTCTTCCTGAGTTAACGCCGGAAATTTTGCCGCAACAACACTACAGGACCGAGTCAGGGATTATGTGTGCTGCCCTCGCCATGGAGAAGAGAGCCATCCAGTACACCTTCACAAGTGAGTCACATCATCAGTCTTGTGGCACAATACTCCCTCAGTACTTTCCATTATTGTGTCAACTCATCATCCATTCATCCATTCTCATGATCTGAATTCACGTTCTAACGAGTCCATCGACCTCAGCTATGTATGATAATGTTTCTCAGGACCAACTTTGTGTACACCTTAGTTAAATAAATACCCAGCGTGTTAAGTGTAATGACAGATACTCCGAGTCTACTGAAGTATACTGGAGCTTGTCAACAGTGGAGGTGGAATGATGTGCTTCTCAAACAACACGAATCATACATAACTGAAGTGTTGTAAACTATACCTGTCGCTCCGTTACTGGTAAAACAGACTGCGAACATGTATGAGTTCAACTCTGACTGGGAATCGAACTCGGGACTCTTTGCTGCCGAGGTGAATAGTTTACCACTGAGTTTAGAAGTCGTTTACCAATTCATAGCAAATACAAATAATATATGCCGAGTTAAAGAATATTGTCAGCTATTTATAGACCCGGAAATGTACACACAAAAATCGTATTGATAAGCTCTCTCTCTCTCTCTCTCTCTCTCTCTCTCTCTCTCTCTCTCTCTCTCTCTCTCTGCCTTTATTGTTATTTTCCTATGCAGTTCATTCTCAATATTTTTCTCTCTTAGTTTCCCCCTCCCCCTCGCTCTCTTATTCATAATTTACCCGGTCAAAGGTGACCAACTGCGAATGTTAATTGAAAGCAAATAACAAAAGCTTGACTACTTAAATAGATTTTTTTGAGGACTGGATCATAACTGCCCTGGGCTGTTGGTCCACTTATATACAATATTTATAGCCCCCTAGATCAATACCTTTAATGACTTCACTCTACAGCAGTACTTTCACTCACCGTTAATGACCCAAGAAATGGTTTATGAAAGATCAACAACCATTAATGACGGCAAAACGCTTAACTGAAAGCATTTTAGATGAGAAATTGGCGCCGATGAGAGAGAGAGAGAGAGAGATGTTTTACAGTTTTCCAATTGCTTTAACCTTCATTTGGTCACCTGTATCTTCTAGACCCCGAAATATATAGACACTCATTTTTTTCCAGGTAAGTTTATTGTCAATATCCCGGACATTGATAATGTTTTGGTGACCCATTACTAAAGGTCATAGGGCCAGAAATGAAGAATACTGGATTTTATTGTAAGCGAAGCGCGAGTATGAACGACTTTGTACTGTATATGAGAGGCCAACTCTCACAGGACCCGGATACGAACCCTCACCTAGAGCCAGGCTAAAAATTTCCTACTAAATCCGTGGACTTGGGTTTGTTAAGGGCAGATAAAGAAACACTCAGTTAGATCAGATGTTTGGTAAGGTTAATTTAGAGTTTGGTTAGGTTAGGTTAGGCTTGGGGTTGGTTAGATTAGAATTGAGTAGTCCATGTTTGGTTAGGTGAGTTATGATTCAAGATTATTTAGCTAGGTTGGGTTAAATTAGTGTTTTTTTATGTAAGGTTGGATTACGCCAGGTTTGGTCAGAATCTGGGCACACTGAGTCCCAGTTTATATATTCAAGGGCGACACAGTGTTGTATAGCTCTTGTAAGTTAGTAAAGAACAATATTTGCTTCACCCATTTTTTTTTTACTTAACGCAGAGAAAAGGATGACCAGATAACATTATCCTATTGTGCAAGTTTCCGTTTAATATAATAATGTCCGAGGCTGGTCGGTCCGAGGGCCACCCAAGGTTGAATTTATTTAAGGGGTTGAAACAGCAACCAAATTTTAATTTAACGAGCTTTATGATCCAGTGTCAAGGAATAATCCAAGCCCGGACAACTTACCAACTGCACTGACTAACCATTACCCCGAACCGCGACCCGTCAATCTATTAACGCCCAGGTTCCCAATCACTGCTGGAAGACAGAGCCAAATGGCATAAAGAAATTTTCCCATAGTTTCACCCTGCCACGGGTCGCCACAGTTTAACGCATATAACTGAGATATAACAATATAAGCTATTTTTATATCAAATTTCTGAGGCATTAGGTTAAAATATATCCCTAGACTTATTAAAGTTACACTCCTTTACATAATTCACGTACAGTACAATTGTCACATATATTACCTTATTTCTATAATGGTTAAATGTAAACTATTGTGATTGGTGAAGTGGGAGAGGCCCAGGATAGAACGAGCGACCTCTCTCTCTCTCTACCCTTTTCACCTTTTATTTCTCTCTATCCTCCGGGGGTCAGTTGTCCTGATACCCTAAACACCACATGGCAATTGATTCCTGGATGACAGTGCCATACTCCTACTGTAAATCGTCTATCAAGAGGCACTTACTACCCTGACCCTATCAGCTCCTTCTCATCTTTATTATATGTCCAACTACCAGTTTGGTAACAGACCGCCACAACATGTGCAGCTGTCCAACACCACAGCTGCATTAGCCCTACAAAATATGCCACCATGCTGTAGTTTCTGTAACTTGTATATTCACCCAATGTTTCCTCCTCTTTTTTGTAATGAATGCCTTTGTTAAATGACCCACTCTCACGTGTAACCAAATTTAATCCATTTTATTTCTGTTCATTGTGTATTTACAGCCTTTGGGTGCATGTTTCTGTCAATAAACCGTTATTTATTATTATTATTACTCTTTATTAATATTACTATGTATTATTATTATTATTATTGTTATTATTATTACACACTAAGAGCAGCATCAACACACAGGCAACATCAAGAACTGCACGTTGGAGGGGGAAGGTCTGGGTGTCGACACTAACGCCCTCAAGATGGTCGCTACCCCGCCAACAAACACGCTGGAGGAGGTCGCTCAGGGGAAACTCACCTTAGCCAGTACTCCCTTTATATCCAACAACATTATGTATGCCTATCACCCTCACCCCCGGAAGGGATATGTGTTGTTCATGCTATTTTAATACTTTATTCTGCTCTGTTTTCAATACAGTAATGTCAATCCCACCTTATTATTTCTTTTCATTATCTCACACCTTCACTTGATGAACTTCGCTACCCCATGTGTACCTTTTTTGATGGTGGGGGGGGTTAAGCCTTTGTTCAATAAGCACCACAAAGTATTCACTTTACAACAGTCAACGCTCAGTGCCACAAAATCAGGGTTTCTCGCTTCTCATTCCTTTATATATTGTCTGATATACACACATGTTTTCCACACATATTCCTTTATTGACAACTTCCACTGATACTTGGATCTAGCTAGAATTTGTGTTGTTACCTTGTTGTGGCAAAGTGACAAAGAGGATGGCATTATATTCACTCGAGATTGTCAGCGTTTTAGTATATATCATTATTCTTAATTTTATTTCTCTATATTCTTTCCTTCCACACAGCCTTAACTCTGACTTGGCAGTGGACGGTGATGATATCTCGGCTTCACTCAACTTCTACCACTCAGCCTACAGGCTGGTGTACCCCTGGTGGGCGGTGGACCTCAGCTACACGCGAACCATCTACAGAGTCAGGATCACCATGAGACAAGATAGTTGCTGCTTATTAAGGTCCCACGACATCGAAGTGAGTTCCAACTTAGGATATTTTCTAGTGTGTTTGAGGAAGTGTGTGTACGAGGAATTAGTGTGTGTATGAGGAAGTGTGTACGAGGAAGTAGTGTGTGTACGAGGAAGTAGTGTGTGTATGAGGAAGTGTGTGTATGAGGAAGTGTGTGTATGAGGAAGTGTGTGTACGAGGAAGTAGTGTGTGTACGAGGAGGTAGTGTGTGCACAAGGACGTAGTGTGTACATGGAAGCAGTGTGTACCGAAGCTGCATGAACATGGAAGCAGGTCTTTTTTTACTTATGTACACCACAAGTTTGTTTACATTACCTGTGTACATATTTTTACACTGTGTTCTTTCAGATTCTTGTTTACTTATATATGGTGTGGGTCCTTGTGTTTTTCTTTTATGTACACCTGATATCTTTATTTACATTTCTGTGTACATCTCAGGTTCGTGTGGGTGATGTACGGGAGGAGTCTGGAAACTTGTCGTCTTACACGTTGTTCTCCACCTACAAGGGTCCGTATGACATCTCTCAGGGACACATCGCCTGTGACAGGAAGGACGGCGTCTCTGGCAGATACATCAGTATCCAGCGAGTGACTCCTGAAGATCATATGCTCCAGCTTGTTGAGGTTAAAGTGTTTGCTTCATTACTACCAAATTAAAAACTATATTACAGCCACGAGAGTTTCTTCATCTTTGCTGAATGAATACAATATCTTAAGACTTCATGGAGTCATTACACATACTCATTAGTGACTGAGTGGTTATTTTCAGGGAATGTTTCAACTGTTTTTCTTAATTTATACTAAGGAAAGTTTTCAAGAATCATGAAGCCTTAAAATATTTTTTGCCACTATGGCTTGTATCATCTCAGAATAGTTGGTATGCCTAGTTATGAAGTGACTCTCAGTATTGCGTAATATTATAATATATTACTCGTCTTTAAAGTATTTACAGGTTAAAAGAAGTAATTTAATATGCAATAAAACATCCTCAGACACTAATGTTCAGAATTATCGTTTGTTTTGTCATACTGTATGAAGCTTAGAGCGTTGGACAACTTTTTTCCCGACTGCACACTACACAAAAGTATACTTGTGTCGAATTATTACTGCCTAACTAACCTAACCTAAGCTAAAGTTACCTTTTCTAACCTAATTTATTTTTAAAGTAGCTTAGTTATGATAGTTATTTAAATAAATTTGAGCATTCATGAACTATTTTCCTCTAAGTTACCGCAATAAATACTGAAAGTCATCCCTGTTTGACATAAACGTCACTTGAGAATTAATACTGCATCGGACGGTTATCACTGGTTATCACAATCACAAAGCGGCGTGACACACACACACACACACACACGTCATATATATATATATATACTGTGTATATATATATATATATATATATATATATATATATATATATATATATATATATATATATATATATATATATATATATATATATATATATATATATATATATATCAAGGTTTATCATACTAACACTCAACTTAAATACTGTAAAATATTTGTGTGTGTGTGTCATTTACACTCAGGTCAGGGAGTAATACCCACCGGCCAGGACTTGAATTCTCAAAGTTTAGTTATTCAAAAGTTTTGCCATTACAGGAGGCATAAGAATGCTTGTACCTGGCTCACTCAAGCTACGACACAAATTAGCATTTTTAAAAGTTCTTGCATTAATTTTTACCTATACAGTGCTTAAAGATGCAAGGACGTATTTAATATACAGTACCTGAAATTAAGGAAAAATAAAGTAAAAACTAAATATTTAATACACCCCCGTAACCAGTCGCTTCCTCTCATCAACAGGTCAGTCAAATATTACTTTAGTATCTTAAGTAACAAATTCTTTGTTTCAGGAAGAGGAAGATATCTTTTGTATATCTTTGTCCCTTCACTGATCACAATAAGCATAACCTGTGCTGGAGAATATTATGAAACCTTAAGGTGTTAAGGTAGTATGGTCGGGGACAGGGCTGACGGGGAAGGTAGGAAAATCTTGATTGTTGACTACTCACAGGTACGGTACATGGACAGAGCTTTTTGCGGTAAAGATGAAAATAGGATGAGGGTGTGTTTGCCAGGAGCTGGGGTGGGGGATATAGTTGACAAGATGGACAATATCTAGTCTGGTAATGGGAACAAACCCATTATCTGCCTTAGTGCAGGAGGCAATGATATTGGCCGGTGTAGGAGTGAGGAGCTTCTTGATAAGTTCAAGGCAGCTATAGAACGTGTTAGGGAGGGATCCCTATCATATGTGGTGTCCTGCCTAGAAGGGGAGTTGGAAATGAATGGTTGTCAAGGGCAGTTGGTGTTAACGGACGTCTTGACAGATATTGCAAGTCAATATCAGTCCCATTCATTGACAACTGGGACAACTTCTATGGCAGAAGGGACCTTTATGCTAGGGATGGGGTGCATCTGTCTAGCGATGGAGTAGCAACCCTTGCTGGGACTCTCGAAAGGGCAGTCCAAAAGATGTCGAAGTCCTTAAACTGCTAGGGGAACGTGTGACCAGGGGGTGGAGGAGACTGCAGTGGGAGCGGGTAAACAAAGTGAAAGGTTACAGGGAAATAGTGTTAGGAATGATGACAAAACTAAAATAGACAGCGAGTTAAAACCTAAACGCGGCAAAGGGAGGACTCAGAACACGACTAACTTCAATGTCTACTACGCGAACAGTAGAAGTATGAGACACAAAATGGATGATATTAGGGCTTTGGTATGTACCGAAAAAATCGATATAATAGCATTCACTTAAACATGGATCAACCTAGACTCACGTGAGTTACCTGTCGAATACCAAATCGCAGGTTACAAATTATTCCATACCGATAGGCAGATTAGGAAAGGAGGCGGAATAGCAATCTATGTCAGGGATAATCTGAAGTGTGAAATAAATAAGGAAATTAAAACTGAGAGGAATACAGAAACACTGTGGGTAGAATTAAGCGACGGTCGGGATAAATTAATCACAGGAGTAATATATAGACCTCCCAATCTTGACAGAGTTAATGAGAAACTTATCTGGGATGAAATGCGCAGGGCTTCCGTACACAACAAAGTCTGTATAGTAGGCGATTTTAACCTTGGCCAAATAGATTGGATTGACCTTACGGGTAACTCAGAATTAAAGGATTTTCTTGAAACGATCCAGGACTGTTTCCGAAGTCAACATATAACCGAACCCACCAGGGGTAATAATATACTCGATTTAGTTCTGTCGAACAGAGGAAACCTCATTAGTAATGTCGAGGTAGGGAACGAACTTGCAAACAGCGATCACAATGAAATTAGATTCCAGTTAGATTTTCAGGGCAGACGTAAGGAAAATTCCACAAAAAAACCCAGATTTCAGAAGGGCAAACTTTGATAGTTTGAAGAGGCAGTTGAGAGAAGGGGCATCATGCTTGGGGGTGAACTACATTGACCTGACGATTGAAACCGACTTCATAACGAGATCTGAGGTTGCAGAGTACCACGACAATTTAAATAATGAGTTACTTAATGCACAAAGGCAGAACCTACCATACAAAAAACTTAGATCAAACAACAATGACCCTAAATGGATAAATAATTACTTAAAGAACATTATTGGTCAAAGGAAGGCGATAGGTAGGAGGATAAATCGTGGCGAAATTTACCTCCGGGATTATTATAAGGTATTGGCCGGTAGGGTTAAGACCGAGATAAGGAAAACAAAGAGGAATAATGAGCTGAGGATAGCAAAGGAGGCGAAGACAAACCCCAAAGGATTCTATTAAACGTATCAAACTAAACCATGAGAAAAGATTGGGCCAATACAGTCAGATACCGGCGAGCTAACTGATAATGACGGACAAATGAGCAATATTCTGAATAAATATTTTTCAACAGTTTTCACCACCGAAAATTTAAACATGATTCCCGAGGCACCGACTCTATTCAGAGATAGTGAAGAAAACAAATTAAGCGAGATAGTAGTGACTAGTAATGATGTTAGTAAGCAAATAGACAAACTAAAGCCTAATAAATCACCTGGACCCGATGAGATATTTGCCAGAGTATTAAAGGAATGTAAGGAAGAGCTTAGTGTGCGCTTAGCAAAGTTGTTTTACATGTCCTTAAAACAGGTGTAGTACCAGAATCCTGGAGGATAGCGAATTTAATACCGATTTTCAAGACGGGGGATAGATTACTATCCTCTAACTACCGTCCAATCAGTCTAACATCAATTGTAGGCAAATTACTGGAAGCAATCATTTCAAACTCTATTCGAAACCACCTGGAGAAGCACAAATTGATCAGTGATTCCCAGCATGGCTTCACAAGAGGGCGCTCATGTCTCACTAATCTATTAACATTCTTTTCATCAGTTTTCGAATCAGTGGACGAGGAGCACAATTATGATGTGGTATATCTCGACTTCAGCAAAGCCTTCGACTGAGTCCCCCACGAAGGAGTAATAAGAAAGGTAGAAGCACATGGCATTAAAGGTAATATTCTAAAATGGATTAGGGCGTGGTTACAGGACAGGAAACAGCGAGTGAGCTTTAACGGCACTAAATCCCATTGGAGCAACGTGACTAGTGGAGTTCCCCAAGGCTCAGTACTTGGACCATTATTATTTATTATATACATAAACTACATAGATATCGGCATAGACAGCAACATAAGTAAATTTGCTGATGACACTAAAATAGGGCGTATAATTAAATCTGACGAGGACTCCGCAAAACTACAGGAAGATCTAAAAAAAAATTTCGAATGGCAGATGAAATTCAATGTGGACAAATGTAAAGTACTCAGTATAGGATATGTAAACAGGGAAACCAGTAACCAAATGAACAAAAATGCCATTGTGAAATCAGATTGCGAGAGAGATTTAGGAGTAATGATAAGTATGAATCTTAAGCCAAATAAACAATGTGTTTTTGCTCCTAATAAGGGTAATAAAGTACTTGGGTTCATACAGAGGAGTGTTAGTTACAAGACTAGAGAGGTCATCTTAAGAGTATATCTTGCGCTTGTGAGACCTCACCTGGATTACGCAGTTCAGTTCTGGTCACCGTATTACAGAATGGATATAGAATCCTTGGAAAGAATCCAGAGGATAATGACAAGACTAATCCCGGGCATGAGGAACCTTGAGTACAGAGACAGGTTAAAGCATCTTAATTTGCACTCCTTCGAGAGACGTAGAGCGAGGGGCGACATGATAGTGGTGTATAAATGGAAGTCAGGGCTAAACAAAAGGGACATTACAAAGGTACTCAAATTATCCAACCAGGAGCTAACTCGTAACAATGGTTTTAAATTTGACAAATTTAGATTTAGGCGCGAAATAGGTAAACACTGGTTTGGAAACAGAGTAGTGGATGAATGGAACAAGTTACCAAAAATCATCATTAACTCGAATACGCTGGATAGCTTCAAACATAGGCTGGATGTTTATATGAGCAATAGGGGTTAGATGTAAATGGGACTGCCCAGTATGGGCCAATAGGCCCGCTGCAGTTTCCTCCATTCTTATGTTCTTATTATGGAACTTCATGAACTAACCTTTACTGAATGTCTATTATTAAGTTGTACTCGTAGGCACATTTTTATCATAGCTGTTTGGTACTCTTACCATTATATTGTTATTTTATTTAACCAAACCTGTATACGCTTATGTACTGGTGATTCAGGGGATGTCACCATATACAAATAACTGGACATGTAATTTATACCTTAACCTGTACTGCACTTGTATTAACTAACTGATCTCTTACTGTATACCTTAGCCTGTACATACACTGTAGTGGAGATAATTTAGTTTTGCAAAATTTATGATTTATCCCAGACGATGGCAGGAAGTCAAAGGAGACTGAACTGTAGTGCAGTATATCAGAGCAATAAGGAAGAGTTTGTCTTTGTCTTGTTTCTCTATGATATTTCAGCTCCTTCCTCTTGTGTTTTATTCTTGACTCACAACACTTAATTATTGTATTTTTTTATTATTATAACTATGAATTATTGTTATTGTTATTATAATTGAGGAGTATTATAATTACACACATACAGACACACACACGTACACACTCACACATACAGACATACACACCCCAGGTTGTAAAGTCTACTAAGCTCCTCGGCGTCACCATAAGTAACAAACTAAATTGGAAAACACACGTCAGTGAAGTTGTTTAAATCCTCCAGTTTTCGTCTCCACCTCCACCGCTAACTCAAGTCCCTCGGAGTTCCTGCGCCCGAGCTTCTCAGTGTTTACTCAACATTTATACTTCCCAAGATCACCTATGCCTCCCGTACCTGGTCTTCCTCCCTAAATGCCTCACAACGTAAACACATAGAAAAAGTGCAAAAGAGGGCATGCAAGATTATTCTCTCCCCTTCCTACTCCACATATCAATAAGCGTTCAACACACTGACCCTCTCGGCTCTCTCTGACCATCACGACCTCATCTGCAAATTTGGTGAGAAGATTCTGCAACATCCTCGACACCGGCTCCTACTACCATCCGAGGTCCCTCGTCCGAGAATTGCTGTTCGACACCACAACTGCATCCAGCCCCTACGAGCACATACTGATCGCTATAAGAACAGCCGCAGTCTCAACCATTGTAAAAATTATCAATAACTTGTAATCAACCAGTGTATTCACTCCCAGTCAATCTTACCTTTTTGCACTGTCACTATTTTGAAATGCCTCACCTACTCATTATATATTATATTTGTATCACTTATGTTACTTGTATGTTATTTGTAAATCAAGAGACCCATTCGCCAATTATGCAACTGTATATTTTCAGCCTTCCGGCTGCCTTGCTCTTTCAATAAACCGTTACTTAATTGTTATTATTATTATTATTATTATTATTATTATTATTATTATTATTATTATTATTATTATTTATTT